ACAAAAAAATTCCACTTTCATAGAATTTCTCTTGATCAATAGCACAACAGAGTATTATTTCCTGTTATTAGACAGGTAAATGTGCATGTTCTGGAGTCTTTGTGAGTACTGAAGACAGAACAAATATGGTCTGTAATATTGTGTGGAAGTAATTCCCATTATTTCCATGGAAATTGCATTCATTAAGCAAGGATTAGAACTGCAGTCGAAGTGTTTCTTAACTGAAACAAACTTGAATGAAGCTCCACAATTATTATGGTACAAGAAATATAACAGCAATTATTGTAATTCTTCATAAAAATAGTATTGAAATGTTTCTTATAAAACTGAAGGGCAAGAAATTTTCCACTGGTGGGAACTCTCATGTTGTCCCAGCTACTTGACACTTCATTTTGATCTGTGATTCACACGTGGTTTTCTATTCAGAAACTTCTGTAACCCCAGCCCCCATACATACCATTCAACTAAGTGGGTCTCCTGCCAAACTTTTTCAGTTTCTTTTTGATTGTCACAATGTTAACCCATTCATCCTTGAACTGATTTTTCTTCTGCTATCATTTTTTTAAAACTTTTCCTTCTTGTTTTCCCCTCTCATTTTTCTTCAAACTCCTTGATTTCTTCATTCAAATATCATGTTGGCCTATCACAGTCATTTGATGTTATGGTTTTGAAGTCCCACTTTGCAAATGGCAGTGTTGTGGAAGCAAATTCCCACCTATTTTGTCTTTTCCATCTTGGTAAAAATTATGCATCAGGTACTTTTAAATACTGCTAGGTGTTTACTAAACAGTCTTGTTACAATTGTTTTTGTTTTTGAGACATTTGCCGAGAGTGATATTTAAGGGTGGCAAATTTCAGAATTATTGCACCCCCTCATCATCTTCCATGTGATGGAGTTCTCTGACTCTGGGAATAAAAATGAATGCTTTCAAAATACTGCAGAACAAGAACAGATGGACATTTTTGTGGTATCAAAATTGCATCCTTCACATTAAATCAAATTAGAAAGTAGATCAAAACCAATTAGGAGGCTCTGCCTTAACTAATAAATGATTATTAATAATATTAAATGATAATAATAAATGGTCCAGTTTCCAAGATTCTGTAACTAACACTTTCTTTCTAAAACTGTGAGAATCTTGCTTTCTTGATTGGGAACTGCTCTAATGGGCTTAACATTCTAATTGACTTTCTTATCTCTTCGGGAGATCAGCTGAATCTCCACTGCCTACAGAGTATTCTCAGGTATCTGCTTCACCATTATCAGTAATTCAAACCAGGGCAAAAAGAAAAAAAATGGAAAAAGGGCCTTTCCGATACTGGTTCCAGCAGCATCAAATTTCTCCCCTTCTCTGAATCTGCTTCCACTATTAATGGCCTTGTCAGTGTATACTGTCCGATCATCATTGGCTCCTTTCCATTCCCAGAAATTTATCTTGGGAATGGAAATTCAGATCCTCCTTGAGATCTACTCTTCCATGGCACCCTCTTTTCCATCAGAATAGTTGAAGCATTTACTCCTTGCCAGTCTTAAGATTGCCAAGATCGGAGTTGGCTACCTCAAGCCCAATCTGTTTTCGAAGAACATTTTTTCCCAGATTAGATTGCTTCTATGTCATCCCTTCTTCTTCTGCAGAACACTGATTTTCTCAACATTAACCCTTTAATAGCCCTGATCAATGGACCCATATTTCTTGAAATAACCCATTACATGTTTTGACCTTTGACTTCATATTCCTCTTAAACTTTATCATCTAATCATGCCTTGGGCTAATCAGATGACAGACAGCTTTTGCAGCTGTCATTCTCTCCTTTGCAGGACTTGTCTCCTCCAAGATGCTTCTGTGATGATCTTCCAGCCTGCTTTCCAAAGATGGCTGTCTTCCCCTCAGTCAGTTAGGCCCACATACCCTGAGGCCACTCACCATCAGAATTTCTTCGCTCCCATTGAGGCAAAGGACCCACCTTGTTTGTCCCAGAAGAGATTGTGCTAGCCTCTCTGAACCAGACAATTATGCCTTTGATGTCTCTCTAATCTAGGCAATACTGCCTTCAACATCATCACCCAATGTTGAGTTTGGGGACCAAGTCCCCAGCTCCCATTCCAAAGATCTCCAGACTGGCAGGTTAACACATTGTCTTGACCTTGAAGCTAAGCTGAGAAACCCCAATATACCAGTTAGTCCAAGACACTACAACTTCACCAGCCTGATTTCTAATTCTTCCAATGGCACCAAACAGAGAGTCCTAGGCAAGGCCTGCTTTTATATCACAGAGTTTTTGCTGTGTTGAGAATCTTTCAAAGTAAAGGAAGAGGGAAGCCATATCTTATAACAACATCCACTGTCTCTTATGTTATAGTGAAGACATCACAGTCAGCCTCACACTATAACCAGTATTTGGTACACCAGAACAAAGAGGGCAGAAAACTGGGCAGTGTTGAATGCAAGTTGTAGTTTTCAGGGCTCCCTCCCTCCATAGTGCCATCTGTCAACCATGTATGGCAAAATGCCATAATTTTTTGTGAGTTTAGAGACTCCCATTTCTTCCTCATTTGCCAAAGGAGAAACGACCAGCAGTCCAAATTTTTCAAACAAAAGCAGCATGTTTTCCCACATCTGACTCCATGACCAGGCTGTTCAGGTTCTATTGTAGAATTCCATTATGGTCTGTTACATAAACAAACAAAGTAGCGCAACATCCAGTTCTCTTCTAGTCTTTATGTTATGGATTTGGCATTGATGTACTGTATCTATCACTTTGCATTGATCCTGACAATCCTTATGCCTGGAAGTGATACCTCCATCACCTAACTCAGGAGTATCAGTTTTGTCATCTAGTAATGGCTCTCATCAGATCCCACTGGGACAACCTCAAAGTTGATCTAGTTCCATCATGGGATAACAGGGAATGCCTAACCATTCTCTCTATGACCCCTTCCTTTCTTCTAGGAATGTCTCTGTGT